ATATATATGTGTATATGAGTATATATATACATCTAAAAAAAAGATATAAAAAAAATTTTCTGGGAAAAAGCCTTCTATTTATATTAATTTATGTATCATGTGTATCACGTAATATCAAATTAATAATTACCACTACGCATGCTGTAGTATAGCGAAAAAAAAATTAAGCTTTTTTTAGCAAAAAGCTTAATTTTTTTTCTTACGGCTTTTACTTCCACCTTTCCCTCCTCTCTTCTTCTCCTTTCTTTCACCCTTCCCCTTCCCTCACTCCTATTCTTTTCCCCTTCCCCTTCTCCTTTCCTTTGCACTTCCACTTTCCCTTTCCCTTTCTCACCAGAATTTTTCAAAAAAACAAAATGGTAAGTTTCGAAGCGTTTTGCTTCAAAACTTTAAAATTTTTTTTTTAATTTTAGGAAAGTGTTTCTAACGCTTCCTATATTATTTTTAGACATCTAGCTGGCCTTTAACTTCAGATTTTGGAAATGGTAAGCTTCGAAGCTTTTGCTTTGAAACTTTATATTAAAATTTTTTTTTTTTAGGAAACATAACTAACATTTCCTATATTTTTTTTGTAGGACTTTCAGCGGGATTTTGGAAATTGTAAGTTTTGAAGAGTTTTGCTTCAAAACTTTTAAATTAATTTTTATTAATTTTTTTATTAAAAAACATTAGCTAACGTTTCTTTTAATTTTTTGTAGGTCGGAAAGTTGAATTTAGAAGTTTTGAAATGATGAGTTTTGTAGTGTTATAAAACTTGAATTTATTTTTTAATTTTTTTTATTGGAAACGTTTGCTAACGCTTTCTTTTTTTTTGTAGGTTTGGGATATTTGTTTCGTAAAGTAAGTATATTTATTTAGAAAAATTTTTTTTTATTAGAAAACGTTTACTAATGTTTCCTTTCTTCTTTGTAAGATCCGTTTCTAGGAATTTAGTAATTCAGAAAATGGTAAGTTTCGTATGTTTCATCACGAAACTTCCATTTTTTCTTTTTTTTCTTTAAGAAACATTCTAATTAACTGAATGTTTATTTTCTTTTTTGTAAGTCTTTTTTTAGGCGATTCTTGTGGATTTCTTTTACGTGTAGCATTTTGGTAATTTTACAATACTTTCTTTAAATTTTTTTATTTTAATGAAACGTTACTGATGTTCGTTATTTTCTTTTTTTTTTAGGCGACAGATCTTAGATTTGGTATGTTTATAATATCTTAGATTTCATATTTAACGAAACTTTACTTATTGTACATTTCGTTATTTTTTTCCTTTTTTTTAAGTGATCAGTTCTTTGAATAATTTCCCTCAACCCTTGATAATAATGGATGAATTCAAGGATATTCTCACGTAACAACCCAAAACTCAATCCAATTCAATAGTTTTTAGACATGTTAGATTTTGGTAAGTTTATAACATGAATTTTGTATTTTAACGAAACTTTACTTATGATTTCGTTATTTTGTTTCTTTTTTTAGGTGGCTAGTTGGAACCTCTTTACAGAATTTCATTTTCGGTGAACACATGGATTTTGAATTTCAGATTTCGGTAAGAGGAATTGGAATATTTCCTTTTTCAAATTTAATTTCTTTAATAAAATGTTCTCTAATGTTCATTTCTTTTGTTTAGACGGCTGTGAGAGTTACTTTTGATATGGGATTTATTTGCTCATCAGATCTCTTTGGATCTTTTTGGACGCGTAAGTTTTCTAATTTCAGTTTTCTCCCACATTTTATATAATTTAACGAACTGTTATTAATAGTTCTTTTTTTTCTTTCTTTTTAGGTGGTTAGTTTTTCAGTTTATTTGGACACTGATTTAGGTGAGTTTTTTCTTTGTTTTTCTTTAAATTGTTTTATAATGAAATGATTACTAAAGTTTCATTTTTTCTCTTTTAGACTCAAATCTAGACCTCAAAGTATCTGTGGATTATAATCAAAGAGAATTTTTATCAGAAGAGTTGATGGCAGGTGTGGTGTTAGTATGGTTTAAGCTTAACATTAATTACAATGAAATATTTATAGATTAATATTTACTTTTATAATACATTATTGTATATTATAATATTCTTAATAATAAATTGCATAATACATTTTATAATTAATATTTTAAATGTTAGTAAAGTGTTTTGACAATATTTTAAAAATATCATAAAATGGTTTTGAGAACATAATTATAATGCCGTTTTTTTATGATGTCTTAGTAAGCATTAGAAATGGGGTTTAACATGCTTTTTGGATTATTTTTTATTATATAAAATGTTTTTATGACATTATTAAAATACGAGTTTTAAGTATATTTAATGATATCATAAAAGCATTATATGATATCTTGAAAAAATTACCCTGTCCAGTAAAATACTTCAAATATATCTTGATATATTTTAAAAATTTTACAAAATAATTGCACAATTATTTTGAAAGCCAT